GGGAGCAGATGGGCAGATGTCCTAGGTTTGAAGCATGGCCTCTCTCACACACCTCCAGGTTTACCAAAGGCAGCAAACAACTGTGGATCACTTTGTAGCTCCTACCAGGTAGCCCTAGGCCAGTCACAGGCAGTGAGTGACCTGGGCCTGTACAGGAGTCCCTCCCAAGGGGCCCCAGAACTAACATACTTAGAAGTTGGCTTCAGACCAAAGCAGAGTACCAACCAATTAGCCTCACAAGTGGCACACATGAAGGGCAGTCCCAACAGGCACCAGAGTCCTCTGGGGTGAATCCCACTCAATGGGGTAAGCCCCCGTCCCCCACATAGAAGCCCATAAGTTGTGGATGTGGCCAAACCCCACAGTCAATCAGCCTGAGGGTCAATCCCACTCACAACATGCCAATAGAAATCAAGGCTCAAGTATAACAGGAAGGCACATGCAACCCACACAAGGGACCCTCTTGGGGCACCCAGCACAGGTGACCAGGGAGAGTTTCACTGGGCACCTCAGGACACATACTACATAAGGCCACCTAGCCAAGACTGGGAGACATAGCAGATCTATCTAATACATAGAAACAAACACAGAGAAGCAGCCAAAATGAGGAAACAAAGAAATGCATCCCAAATGAAAAAAAAGGACAAAATTCCAGAAAAAAAATAAATAAATGAAATGCAGGCAAGCAACCTACGAGAGACAGAGTTCAAAGCAATGTTTATAAGTACGCTCAAGGAACTTAGTAAGAACTTCAACAAAGAGATAGCAAGCATAAAAAAGCACATAAAAACCATAAAAAGAACCAGCCAGAAGTGAAGAATACAACAACTGAATGAAGAATGCACTAGAAGGAATCACCAGCAGACCAGAAAAGCAAGGACATATAAACAAGATGAAGCAGAGGACAAATCAGCGATTTTGAAGACAAGGTAACAGAAAACACCCAATCAGAACAGCAGAAAGAAAAAAGAATCCAATAATAAAAAATGAGGATAATTTAAGAGACCTCTGGGACAACATCAAGCATAACAACATTCACATCATAATGGTACCAGAAGGAGAAAAGTGAAAGCAAGGGATTGAGAACTTATTTGAAGAAATAATGACCAAAAACTTTCCTACCTGGTGAAGGAAACAGACATACAAGTCCACGAAGTGCAAAGAGGCCCAAACGGGATGAACCCAAACAGGCCCACACAAGATACATTATAATTAAAATGGCAAAGATTAAATACAAAGAGAAAGGCAACTAATAACTTATAAGGGAGCTCCTATGACTATCAGCTGATTTCTTAACAGAAACTTTGCAGGCCAGGAAGGATTGGCATAAAATATTCAAAGTGATGAAAAGCAAGGACCTATAAACACGCTTACTCTACTCAGCAAGGCTATCATTTAAAATCGAAGGACAGATAAAGATCTTCCCAGACAAGAAAAAGCTAAGGGAGTTCATCACCACCAAACCAGCATTACAAGGAACATTAGAGGAACTTCTTTAAGATAGAAAAAAAAAAAAAAAAGCAAAGTTATGAATAATAAAATGGCAATAGCTACATATCTATCAACAATTACTTTCAATGTAAATGGATTAAATGCTCTAATCAAAAGACATAGGAGAGCTGAATGCATAAGAAAGCAAAACCCTTACATATGCTGTCTACAAGAGAATCACTTCAGATTGGAAGACACACAGCCCAAAAGTAAAAGGATGGAAATAGTTACTTCATGAAAATGGAAATGAAAAAAAAGCTGGGGTACCAATACTTACACAGACAAAATAGACTTTAAAACAAAGGTTGTAACAAGAGACAATGAAGGACCCAGAAATTCCACTTCAGAATATTTATCCAAAGTAACCCAAAACACTACGTCAAGGGTAACTGTGCATCATATGTTCATTGCAGCATTGTTTACAATGGCAAAGATGTAGAAGCAGCCTGGGTATCTGACCATGGATGAATGGATAAAGAGTAGGTGGTACATAATACAACGGAATATTGCTTGGCCAGGGAAGGGAATGGGTTTTTGCAGCAGCATGGAAGGACCTGAAGGGTATTGTGCTGAGTGGAGTGTAAGATAAAGACAGTTGCAATGTGATTTCATTTATATGTGGAATCTAAAGAACAAAACTAACAAAACAGAAACAAACTCACAGAGAAACATTTTGATGGTTGCCAGATGGGAGGGGGAATGGGGGTATGGGTGAAAAGGGGGGAAGGGATTAAGAAGTACAAATTGGTTGTTACAAAGTAGTTATGGAAATGTAGGGTATAGCATAAGGAATATAGTCGATAATATTGTAATAACTATGTATGGTGTCAGAAGGGTACTATTGGGTGTCGGAAAAGTCATGACATATTTTTTCTGTTTTTTGTTGCAAAAATGCATCATGACTTTTCCGACAACCCAATAGATTTGTCGGGGTAATAGATGGGAGGGAATTGGGGGTGGGTGAAAAAGGTGAAGGGATTAAGAATTGCAAATTGGTAGTTAAAAATTATCATGGGGTTGTAAAGCATATGGAATATAGTCAATAATATGGTGATAACTATGTATAGTGTCAGGTGGGTATTGGAAGCCAGGGGATTGCTACTTAAATTATATAAATGTCTATCTACTATGCTGTACTATTGAAATTAACATAAAATAATATTGAATGTCCACTGTAATTGAAAAACTTAAAAAAGGGGGGAATAGGTGAAGGGGAATAAAATTTCAAAATTTCCAGGTATAAAACAAATAAGTCATACAGATATAGTATAAAGCACAGGGAATGTAGTCAATAATGTTGTGATTGCATGGTACAGTGTCAGATAGTTGCTTGGCTTATCATCATGATAACTTCTTTAGGTATATAAATGTTGATAACTATGCTGTACATCTGAAACTAATATAATGTTGTATGTTAGCTATATTTTAATAAAAATCTTAAAGAAATAAAAATAAATAAAAAACATAGTTAATGGGAAGGTAGTTTTCCCCCTTATAACCCTAGGACAGTAAATCATTTGTTGTGCTAAGACATGGGAACAAGTGACATTGGAACATAGTTTCATCTTCGCTTTTGACATGCCACATTAAACCATGGATAGGTATGTTGTTTTAAAAAAAAAAGATAGCTATCTGATTATATTTTCCTGCTTACTGAAATTAAACTGAGCTTATAATTAACATCCAATTAACACCACCAAGTGAAGTACTTTAGAGTTGTCTTTTTTCTAAGGAAATAATGAGTGATTTCCCTTCTGATGGCTTTTTACTTATGGAAAGGTCAGCAAAGTTCCCAATTCAGAGTTTAGCTGCTATATCAGCTGATTCATTGCAAATCCTCAAATAACAATCTACTTATATAATTTTATTTTTTCACAATGGTCACAGTTCTCTAGCCATAAAATAGAAATCATGCAAAAATCTGAGTTTGCTTATGCTCAAACCAGGCTTATTTGAGTAGGGGGACCAAATCTTCATTCGCATCAGTGTGAATGAAGTTGATTCAATGTTTTTCTCTTTCTTTCTTTTTCTTTTAATTAAAGTTTATTGGGGTGACAATTGTTAGGAAAGTTACATAGGTTTCAGGTGTACAACTGTTTTTCAAAGTGACTTCAGCTGAGCTGCAATCGGCAGAGCCTACGCTACAGGCTGCTATACTTACAGGCCTGATTTGTCACAACTGTGGCATCCAATTGTGTTCTCAGTTCTAGATTTAGTAGCTTCTCTAGCTTTTTTCTTCTGCCAGCCATTGAGTATGATTTCATGTACTCTTACCAATGAATTGATTTAATATGGAGTTTTCTTTTCTTTTTTCTTTTTTTAAATCAGGATTCAAAATGTAGCCCAACAAATTTCAGATGAAGTCTGAAGTAGGTTTTTTGTGATTCATACACACCAGTGAAAAATATAGGATTGCATGTATGCCTTCACACACACACACACACACACACACACACACACACACACACAAGTGGACTCTGTACATATATACAAACATTCCTCCATGTTGGCTTTTCTTTCATAGGTTTGATAACAATGTAAAGCCATATATTCTAAAAGGTTTCTTATTCATATTACCATTATAACAATATAAATCATTACTACTTATCACTAGGCTAACTTAGAAAGGATTCAAACATTCATTTTAAAACGCTTTTTAAATTTTCTTGCTTTTTTTTAGGATTTTGCATAATGAAAAATAATGTTTATTATTTTTAACTTGCATGTTTTTATGCTGATTTCAGCAAATTGTGGCCATTTTCCTCAGTCCATTTGTCTAGAGCCTTGGGTGGTATTGAAATAGTTTTTATTTTTTACAGATGTTAATTAACTTCTGGAATACATACACATCAGTGGTGAGTTCAGTTCAACTTTCCAGTGTTTTGATGCTGGATGAAATCTCTTTCAGTTGACAAGAATCTATGTAATTGACTAGAAATCTGCATGACAAAGTACTCTCTTGAATTTCTCCTTTACCCATTCTCTCCTCTATCAGGAAATCTTAGATGAATTTCTCCTCACCTGGGAGAAATTAGACTTTGTATTTCCACTAAACTTAGGGAGCTGAGGATAAAAAAGAGCAGGGAATGGAAGCAGGGAACAGTAAGACTGCAGAGAAAAATAAATCATGTGATTCTATCAAAATGTTGATTACATTGCAAATCATCAAATTAGGTCTCCAAATTGTGAATAATATGTTTTTTGTTTCCAACTATTAGGGAAAAAGAGGAGACAACAACAAAATGTGTAGGGTTGGGGTTCAGTTGAGGAAAAAGGCAAAGGAGTGGAGAGACGGGAAAAGAAGAAAGACGGCCTACCTACTCTATACACACCCGCTGCCTTAGGGTGAGGGGGACGGGACGCTGAGAAACTCTCCTTCACCAGGGAAGGCACAGTGAGGCAGGAGAGCAAGGAAGTTTTCAAACATTTCTCATTAGTAAGGGCGAAAACAAATAGAGTTGGCCTCCATTTACCAGAAAACTAAATAAATTATGTCATTGCCTGAATCATTCTGATAATCGGTGGTTTCCTTTTTATTTAAAAATGGAACTTTTGTATCACAATGGTGGGGGCAGTCTGTATTACAATTTTAACATTTGTACCTGTTTATTTTTCTTATAGTGGGCATTTCTATCCATCCTTAGCTCAAAACAAGTTACACATAGAACTAAAAATCACATAAGGAAACAACAAAAGAATTACAACAATAACAGTTTCAACAATGGAAGTGGCACTTGGTCATTTTTTATGGATCTGAGTACTGGAGTATCAAAATGGCAGAAGAGAGCTGGAAACAGGCTTTTGCCCAAGATGGCCCATTTTAATGATAACTAATCATGGGACTTAGCACTAGTAAAGACCTGCCAAGTGCTCCTGAGGTGACATGCGTCATTACTTCTGGCCTCCAAAACATTCTGTAAATTAAGCCTGGCTTTTGTCTTTTGAATCATTTGCAAGGATGTTTTTGGTCTCTCAGCAAATCAACTCTTTAATATTTAATGAGCAATAAATATATGAAAAACAATCATCTCAAGACTGGGACAAAAAACTGTATTTCTCTGCTCTCATTTTCTCCTGTTGTCCCTGCTTCCTCATCTTTTCCTCATCTAAACAGAGTCATTAAACAAACAACAAAAAAATTACTATGTTCTTAGTCTATGACCAAGACCATCCTTGTGATACTTTTTACATAATTCTGATACAATATATTGTATTTGGCATTGAAATCAATTGGTTACTAGTCTCTATAAATGCTATTCTATAAAAAATATTAGCAAGGGGGAACAATATGTCAGAGCAGTCAACAAATTATAGATCGTCTGCTGAAAAGATGTCAGAATATGTAGGCAATAAACAAGTTAGGTGGTCATGGGTATCTCAAGGGACAGCATATATGAAAGGACTCTAAATGACAGAGCACTTCGGACATTAAGGTCATTATTATTGTTGTTATTGTGGTATAACAACTGATACACAATGGGGAACATAAACCCCATGAAGGCAAAGTTCTGGTCAGATTTAATATAAGGAATCATTTCCTCTCCACGTCTAACAGTTGGCACTTGGCAATGATAACGTTATGTGTGGAGAGACACACCTTGGGCCTATAAAGTAGAAATTTGAATATACAAATATATATTGTGAAGTATGGTAGGATACAAATTGATGCAAAAATATGCTTTGCTTTCCCTGTTTCATGAGTTTAAAAAAGCATACAATTTTGTGTTGTTGGATATTGAAGCAAAGCTGGTAAACCCTTTTGGTTATGTTAAGAAATGTTTTCACAGTATATGTTATTACAGTGTTGAAATATTACATGTTAAGTGATCTTCTGAAATAGTTAAGACTCAACCAAAAATAACTAAACATTAACAGGTCATTCTAATAACATGTTTAGTTATATTGTTCAGTGAGAATGGAGTGTTGAGAATGAAAATTCATCAAGATTTGCTACTTGGCCCATTTTAAATTAAGCGTTTGAGATAATCAACTTATCCTGTAGGTAAGATGTCCTTGATATCTTAATTGTTAATTAGGAAATGGCTTGAGTCTTTAGCTGTAGGAAGCACTCTAGGAAGATGATAAGTCAGGAAGAGATTCCTTCCTTGCCCTCAGGCTAACTAGTAACCATGGTAAAATACTTGTACCCAGAGAGTGTTTCTTAGGTAACCAAACATTCTTTAAGATGGCAGAGCTGCTCAGTTTCAAGAGACCATACAGTATTGACTTAGAATCTTGCCTCATGAGGCAAAATCCCATGGCTTTTGGAAATTACTCACTATTCAAGAATTCTGGGCAGCTCTCTTAAAGAATAATCTTCTCATTTCTTAGGTCACTGCTGTCATGTTACTGGCCTTCATTGCAATTCCAGTTAAATTATAAAGTGCAATATGTAATGTTGAACCTTCGGGAAGAACATAATGAACACAACCACCCTCCATGGAATCCCAAGTTCAAATTACTGGCAGAGTCACCATTCATATCTGAGGATGTACAGGAACTTGATCATCGTTGTTGTCTTTATCATCACCATCATCATCATAGTATCATTAGCATCACAGTTGCAGTATCGTGATCATGTCAAGTGGTGTGGCAAGATCAGAAAAACCAATATCAAGACACTGTCCAGTTTGGGTGAGTAAATATTATCCTGTGTTTCTTGGCCCATTTAGCAAACACTTTCTTTTCTGTGATAAACCTATGCCCTCCATATGGGGCATGTTCATGAAGAAAATATTCATCACACTCATCTCTTCCTTGTTCATAGTAATGGTAGGGGACTTTTCTATACCCTTCTGTCCTAGAAAAGAAAAAAAAAAAGGAAAGGAGAGAAAGATTGAGATGAAGAATGAAGTATTCATTTACAAGAAGCCATTATGTGCCCAGTAAATGCATTTACTTGCAAACCTATGCATGATTCTTGTTCATGAACTCAGTTAAAACTACTACGTATAAAAGCTTTTAGGAAGATGTACCAGGTCCTTAGTGCTTTAATAAATCAAATAAAATTTATATGTCATGCCAATTACATTCAAACATATAATCATCCTTTAAAGGAGGAAATGGTGCATAATGGAAGCAAACTTTGGATTGCCTAATGCTCTTGCAGAGCTTGAAGAAGCTTTGTCATTTTTCAGAGTAAGATATGTATTTCATCTATAATATGCTTATAGTTAGGGTAGAAATATTTGATCATGAAGATTGTGGCTTAATGACCATTTTGACAATGATTAAAACACTCTCTGGATTAGACTGTGCCAAGTGTTGGTAGGGAAATATATTTCACTACCTTGATGAAGCATGGAAGGTTTGTTTTATTATCTAATTAGAAACTATCCCACCAGTGGGGATAAATGTGGGTAAAGATACCCATTTTAAATAAGGATCTGGCAAATTACTCACTTATTTCGAGAAATTCTTGTTAAGCTACCAGCTTCTCTGAAGCTCTAGGACATTTTGTCCTTCGTGATCAAACATAACCATTGACTAGACAGCCATCTATCAAGCCACTAGAGCAGCAGGAATGACAAACTCACTTTGCAAATTAAATAACCACAAAACTTGTTCTGTATTTCTAAGCCACAAGTCCCTGGTATGCCACTGATTAAGGGAAAAATGTTTTTTCTGACATTTGACATTAGACTGTGGAAAATGTTTTCTTTTTTATCACCCCTAAAAGTCATAACTTGATGTGCTGACAATAAAATGTCATGTCAGCAAAGAACACCAGGAAATAATTGTTGCTTTATCTGTTTCTCAGATTTATGGCATTAAAATGAATCGTGATATTTTGACAAGATATCAGAATTGGAGATGCATAAAAATAATTTCCTGTGATCTTACTTGCAGTAGGTGTCATTTATCATCCCGTAGACGTGAATGCCATAACAGGCATCCATGGCCAGAATGAAGGTAAACCACCCAGTGCTGAGATAAGAGCCAGACTGGACTCTGTGAGGGGAACAAAATCAACAAACATGACACAACAACACAGAAAACACACACAGAGCAACAATAAAGTGTGGTGAGAACCGAGCAGCTTTTTATCAAAAACACAGCACTTGTTATCAGGAGAAAGCATTAAGAAACTTGACAATCTGTCAAAGATTCACACTTATTTTGAGTTATCTATGAATAATTTATAGGCATGCTCTCACTCTTACTACCTTAAGCCTCGAAGCTATCTTATATGGTAGAGAAGCCATATGGCAAATATTTGAAGTCAAATAATCCTGTCCCTTCAGGTGAAAAATAATTTATTTGATTTTCCGTATGACACAAATGAGTGCTGTATATCAGAGGACAGGTTTTTCTAAAAGTTGCCTGGAGCCCTGATAGGAACTGAGTGATAATAGTGTTATCTGCTGTCCTGGACATATCACTTTCTCTAAGGCTTGTTGGGTTTCTAAGTATAAATTAGAGGCAGTGTAGGTGAATGCCTTGGTCTATGAAGGAAAATCTGAAAAGTTTTCCTTCACTGCTTTCCAGGCGTTATGAGTTAATAGACTCTTTCTTTGTAAGGTCTATCTCTTCACCATGTTTTATTGAACACCTACTATGTGCCTATCACTATTCCAGATGCTGGGGATAGAGCAGTTATCAAAACAACCAAAGCTTTTTTCTTCATGGAGGTCAGAGGATTGGATTTGGAGATGGCTGTTTTATAAAAGTTGGCCACAGAAGGCATTTTAGATCATGGAAGCAAAGATATGACAAAAAGAGGGGAGGAGGGAATGAGAATGAGCCATGTGGAACATACTGGGAAAAACAATCTTACGTGTGTAGTCTTTTGACCCCCTCTTGGTCATATAAGAATGGGTCTTGGGCCTGGAACACTTCCTTACTAAATGATAAGGAATTCTCACAACCTATGCTGGACAAATGTTGCCTTGTGTGGGTTTATCATTCTTTGTTTCGGACTTAATGTGTACTTCTTTGTTCCGTTTAAGCATTTGTGTCAAATGGTACCTAGCCAACCTCACTGCTGTGCCTGTCCCTTGCAAAGAGGGGCGGATTCCTTCATTCTGTGGCAGAGAGTTGCATGCAGGCCAATAGCCCTGCATTAGCTGCTGGGAAGGATCTACTGACCATGGGGGACCAATGTCCACTCTTAAAACAGATCTTGCTCTGTTTCTTCTCTACGTGAATAAAGTGTTGTTCCATCTAGTGTTTGACTGTGTTGTGTTTTCCTTGGCAACTTTGATACTAACATGCAGTGGGCAGAAGTGTTTGGACTTCCACTCCTGGTGATAGGTGACAGAATCCATTTGCTCAAGAGACAATATAGAGAAAAGTGTTCCAGGAAAAGAAAATGCTAAGGGCAAAATCACAGATATGTAAGTGTCCCTGGTATGTTTAAGGATGAGATGGGAAAGTAGTAACCGAAGGGTAAGTGTGGCAGATGTAGTTAGATGTAGTGCTGATTGGAGGAGTCTGCCAAGTTCCAGATGGTTCAAGGGAATGTTTGATGAAAAAGCTGGATCTCCATACTTGTCTTTAGCCAAGGTGATCTAAACCATCTAGAACAGATGGCTGCCTGTCTCCTTAGACCTCTCCCCATTTGGGTCACCCCTGGTTGTTTGGCATTTATGTAGCACCTCTTCTAAAAAGACAAAATTTCATACCTTCCATCTAGAGTTCTTTGCACACTGGAGCACAGCCAACTCCTCTCCTATGGACTGCCACTTAGCCACTGATAACCACTCTCTGGGTACTGTACTCTAGCCAGGAGTTGCTCCCCACTGAAGTCCAATATTATTGATGCAGTTCTCCAGTACCAGGCCATCAGTGTGCTATAATTAGACCCTGAATCCTTCAATTCTTTTTTTTTTAAACAGGCATTGCTTAATATCAAATTATGTACAAGGTGCAAGCATTTCAGGAGCAACACAGACTAACAGTGGGAGTTGCTAAACGGATTGTATAACCTTTATTTTCATTGACTAGGTGATTTGCAAAGAGAGACAACCGAGCCCATATATGAGATATGATCAAATGATATGGTCAATGTTTAAATAAAACAAAATTTATTACAGTAAAAGACAAATTGCCATGCATCTCCCTCAAAATACTCCCTCTTTTTTCAAACACACTTATCCCATCATTCTTGCCACTTTCTGAAGCAGTTCTGTAAGTCCTCTTTCATGAGTGTCTTTAGTTGCGCTGTCCTGGCTGCCTCAATGTCCTGAATCATTTTGACTTTGGGGAAGAGCCAGAAGTCACATGAGGCCAGATCCAGTGAATAAGGTAGATGATGACACACTGTAATGTTTTTATTTGACAGACATTGCCCTATGGCAAAAGTGATGTGTGACACAGAGCGCTGTCATGATGCAAGATAATACAGCACACTTTAAAACACATCTCTCAACCGTAGCTCACATCTGACTGACTGCACCGAACAAGTTGAAACTTGTCACACACTGTTATTAAGGTTTGATGTGACGCTTCCCAAATTGAAGATACCTGCCTTTCCATTGGACGGCACTCAGCAGCAACAGTCATCATTATCTTTTGATCACAACAGAAAGGCTCCATGTCACCCATCGTTTCTGGTATACAGCAATTTCTGTCAAATAAAAACATTACGGTGTGTCCTCATCCACCTTATTCACCGGATCTAGCACCGTGTGACTTCTGGCTCTTCCCCAAAGTCAAAATAACCATGAAAGGCAAACATTTTGAATGAATGCAGGACATCGAGGCAGCCATGACAGCACAACTAAAGACACTCATGAAAGAGGACTTCCAGAACTGCTTCAGGAAGTGGCAAGAATGATGGGATAATTGTGTTTGAAGTGAGGGGGAGTATTTTCAGAGGGATTAATGGCAATGTGTCTTTTACTGTAATCATTTTTTTATTTTAATTTAAACATTCACTGTTTTTTTTTTTTATCACACCCCGTATATGTTTTATCTGTTTACTGGTCAATGAATTTGAAATGCCACTATGTAAGTACTCTCCTTTGTATCTCCTAGCATGTCTTCTACATGGAAAATATTCCAGAACAGGATCACAATGAGTTACATGCACTTTCCTCTGTAATAGGAATAGTAGTAGCAGCATGGGTTAAGAATGGGTACCAATTGGGTGGGAAGGTGAAATACACTAAAGGGCAACTGTGCATATTATACAGCTGAACCTGCAGTCAATCCTGCATTCTGGAATCTGAGGAGCAGCAGCAATGATGGGAACTGCTTAAAGCATCATCTGCTTAAAGCACCATCTCCTTATTTGAAAATTGGGAGAGATCAGAAAAGGCAATAGTCTTGACAGAAAGCTCCCAAACTGAATCTAGAAATTTGTTTACATACTGAAATTTTCTGATTATTATTCCCACTGAATTGTATAAATTTTGTCCCCCTCTTCTTGACTTCCAATACTACTTTTTCTACCTTTCTATTTTTTCTATCCTTCTTCATCACTAGGTTAACCAAGCACTCACAGGAAACCACTAAAAATTATAGCATTTGTTTTATATTATTAGAAATCCAGGTCTCACTTTTTCACCCATTTATTTATCTTTTTCAACAAACATTTATTGGGATCTTATTCTGTGACACTGACTATGCTAGAAGCTGGTAATGAATATTTTCTTAAACTGCATGGTCTGGTGGGAGAGGCACACATTAAACAAGTAATCACAATACAGTACAACAAAGCACAAGCCCACATTTCTGCGTCAGTACCAAGTGCAGTGCAGTACTGAGGGTAAGACTACCTGGTTTCACATCCCAGCTCTGCAGCTACCTGAATGTGAGGCTTTGGACAACTTACTCACCCTCTTTGAATCATCTAATTTTCCTTGTCTCTGAAATGAGGTGGTTGAACTAAGTCTTATCTAACGTTTCTTCCGATTTTGAAATCAAATGATTCTGTGATTGTTATCCTCAATAGTCAATCTGCTTGAACCTTTAACCACTTGACAGTACCATGCTGCAAGCATGTCAGATGTGTTATTAGCAAACACATGAATCAGTCACATCACATTTAAAGCCCACTTGTGTGATGTGCATGCCATTAAATATCTGGAATGCATATACATATATTTATATATAGTTTTTACATTGCAATGGCCATAGTCACTAAACAATTGGAAGGTGGAGCTCTGTGTTTCCCTCCTTCACACCTCTGCTCACGGAAGGTACTAACATGGCTGTCCAACACCAATGACACAACTGAACCATAGTTTGAGGGTAAAGCTTACTTTGAGTGAGAGAAAAAAAAAGTCTAAATTAGATAAAATTGTTTTTCTTCTTTTGTGTTTTCTAGGAGTCAGTCTGTCTATGGTGTTGTTGTCAAGGATCAAGATCACACTATAGCTCCAAGATAAAAAGGGGATTGTTTGTGCAACATATGGACCATGACTCTGAAAATGAGCTTTCCTGGCTCATTCTGGTCCATGACAGATAGTCATTTCTGAGAGTTCAACAGCAAGCATTCAAGGCAGAACCCTCAAAAGATAAATATAGTTATCAAAGGGGCTCCTCTGTATAACTATCTTATTTTTACCAGAGGAAAAGAGGATCAGGAATTTCAGAGTTTGGCATCTGGTCAAAGATCTCTCCATATCACCACATTAAAAAAAAACAAAAAACCCAACCCATCTCCCCCTACACACACACACACACACACACACACACACACACACACACACACACACTTCTGATACTTGGTTACGTTTGAGCCTAACCTAATTTATTTTGTTTCTGGGTAGACAGATCATAATAATTAGCCCAAAAGCTCTTTAAGCAAGCTGTGATGCATGTGATTCAGCCTGGGAAGGCTCATACTGCCCAAGTGCCCTGTCCTACAAACAGCACTTAATTAGACAGTTGCATTTTTTTTCCCTTAGTGCCTCTGATATATTTGGTATGTAAAATCATGTGAGGTTTTCTACCTACAGTACATGCTGGCGCTAGTAAGGTGGCTTCTTCTGAAATCATTTGGA